TCTTGTACTCTGCCTTCCAGAGGCCCCCAGTCTCCGGCAGTGGAGCGGGAAGTCCTTACCCTCTCTCCTGCAGTCCGGGGACCTAACGCTCAGCCCAGGCTGTGTTTCAGAATTACCTGAAGGACTGCAAGTCCTCCCTTATAGGGCCTGGGCTTCATGCCTGCCCCACCCCCTCAAGGTTCTGATTTACTGGGCCTGGGAAGGAGCTGCAAATGATCCCCAGGTGATTTTAATGCGCCGCCAGAAACAAGAACCACGGCTCTGCTCTCTCCAGTTGCCAGGGAACAGTCCTCGGATTCCCGAAACTTTACTACACAGAGTAGCTGGAGTCTTCCCTCTCTTGCCAGACTCTGCATTTCCTCAGACCACAGCCGGGTTGTAAAAGAACATTTTCCCTTCCTTCTCTGCGTGGACACATAGGCTGAGCTCTAAAAAGCTTGACATACCATATATATTGTTCTGCATTTTGTTTTCATCACTTGACTTTCTTTCATGCATAAGACACTGACCTGCCTCATCATTTAAAGAGCCACAGAAATACCGTCATTCACCAAGTACCTGAATTTAAATATCCATTTTTCCACTGATGGCATCCTGGTCTCTTCTCATGGTTTGTTATTGCAAATACAATAAAGTCAATTTCCGATTTCTTCTAAGAAGGGAGGGAAATGAGGTGGATAATTCAAAGTTTCAGGAAGATCCCAATGTGACTGAGGATTTGGTATGTTTGTTAAGGATGACTACAGATCTGGGAGAACAGAGTTCTTTTTCTGTCTAGCTAGTGACTAGAGATCTTACCGTCCTTATTGGACCTTGATTTTGGAATGGGAAAACTAATTTTCTTTGCTTAATTGTGTTGCAATTAAGTGATTTAGTGCATGCAAATCACTGTGTGTAGAGCCTGACTCAATCTGGTTAACACCTCAATAAATATTTGCTGTGATCAGTCATGCTATTGTAGGACTAGAGATAAGATGCACTTGCTAGACGCTTGCACAAAGCGTGGACAGAATTCATCTGCCAGCAACACATAAAAATTGGGTGCACTGAGATATATACCTGTAATCCTTTGGAAACAGAGATCGGAAGCTCAAGGTCATTCTTTGCTTCACAGTGAAATAGAGGCCAGCCTGGGCTACATGCGACCTTGTCTGAATTAAAAGCAATGGGGTTATACAGTGGGATATTAGAACTCAAGATCCTCATGGTGTGGCCCCGTGCGTTCCTCTCTCCTCACGTAGTCTGGAACAGAATTTCAAAGCACAGATGATCTTCCCTCTAGGTCTCTGCTTGAGTTGCGCTTTGCTGTTTTCAGGGTTAAGGGTTTGATTTTCAAAGCTATGAATTCTGCAAATAGAAAAGGCACAGGTGGATCCTAAGTGCAAGTGTTGGACATGCCGTGTATTAACTGGAGATGTGGCACAAGCTGGTAAGGGAGTATAAGCTCTTGGCTACGGTCTGTCATTAACCCACAGCCAAGAACTGGCTTTGGTACTTTCACCTGCCAGGGACAGCCCCTCCTCTGCGGTGGAAGGACACTAAATAATGAGGAGAACTTACTGTCTTTGATCACAAGAGGTCTGGGTGTTGGGCAAATCTTAGCTGGACTCATTGAGCAACTCCGCAACACTCTCCAGAACCCAGTTCCTCGTATCTTTCAAGACTATGCATACAGCTTCATACATTATCTTGTTGCTGATCTTAGGTCCTTTGTATTGTACAGTACAAAAAAAAAGTCATCAAGAGACAAAGAAAAAGCATTTCTCCTTATATCTCTTTTAAAAAGTAAAAGAAACTTCCCTTCAAGGCGGACACCCATTTATCTGGAATCCCATTGATACAAATTGAATCATCATGATCCACATGAACATTCATGATTTAGGCCGCTCTGGGATCAGAGAGGGCTGGTCAGGCCTGAAGCACGCAGCTTCACAACACCTGAGTAAAGTGAGGGAGGAAATGTGTTTACCCAGATCAGCAGCATCTGCCTCTGCCACGTGCCTCTGTCGGCATCGCTTAGGTGTGTTTTGCAGATCCAAACTTAGTTAGCAAATCTTCCCACTAACCATATGAGAATGTCAGCTTTGTAGTTTGTCACCTGGAAGCTTAGCATGACAAAGGCAGAGCAAGGATGTTTCCTGGTATTTTTAGAACTGGGAATGTTCCTAACAAATGAATAGCCTAGCTACGAAAGGAATATGGGAGGAAGAGAAAGGGTGGAGTCAGGACTTGGCACGGAGTGTGTTCTATATGATCCTCTCAGATCTTAGGAGAGAAGCTTTTAGACAAAGTTGGGGAGCCTAGAAGGTATTTCTTGGGTTGTGTTTGTCCACCACTGGATAGTCCAGTGCGCCCCATACCCAACACCTGGAATGTAAAGGTCACTGGCAAGAGGATGATTCTTACATTAAGATGCCCTTTATAGATATCCAAGTTCCCATAATGTAGAGAATGCAATTCTTTGTCTTGGCCTTGCATTGCTGGTTCACAATCAGAAGGACGTATCCCAGGCATACAGGGGCACAGTCTTGTTTATGCCTGGCAAAATGGGGAACACTATGTGGATTCCAATACTCCAAATTGGAAGACAGCGATCAAGCCACATAGCCAGACAACCTGAGGTCACTGTGACGCCTTGTCTGTAACTGTGGTTCTCTTTGCCCTTGAATGCTTTTGACATATTTCCGGGCTGGTGAGTAAACAGACACTGACTTCTGGAATGGAAATCCTCTCTGCACACCTGACTCTACCATATCTTGGTCAGGCAGCAAGTCTGTGCAAGAGGCAAAGGCAGGTCAAGCACTAGGGCAAAACGACCACGGCGAGGTCACTAGGGAGAGGCAGCTGAAAGCAACGTGAACGTGTGAGGGGCAGTGCAGGCTGGCTGAGACCTGAGCTCCCGGCAGCATAGTTCATCTACCCTTCTGTCAACTGACTCGATACGTCTTCCCCTACAGATCCACCATAATCTCAGACAGAGTACACACAGGGTTGAAAGTTCTGCCTTCAGTTTCTTACAAAGAGATACCGTGAAAGTCCTGCTCAGATAGCATTTTGAAGAATATCATCAGGGGATTCACTACCCCATCTACCTCTGCCCTCCCTTCAGATCCCTCAAATTTGGGGATGCAAATAGGTTGGCAGACAGGCTCCATTGTGCAGTTTTTGAATGAGTACCAAATACAGAAACTGGTGGATCCCCAGGGTTTCTGGTCTCCTTAATGGCATTTCTTGGTATCTCTGGATTTGGGTTTTCAATATTCACAACCCACTAGCGCCAGTATCATATTAAGAGGTCTGTGGATATTATTTTTAAAACCACAAAAAAAGTTGAAAAACAATGAACAAAAGATGAGAAAAAAACTTAGAGAAAATCAGTGTCAGTTCTTGGAATAGGAATCTCGTGAAATAGAAAACAAGGGGAGAATTTTCACCAGACACCTGCTGTTAGGCGACATTTTGAAATCCAGAAGAGCAAGAGTACATACAGGTAAATATGGGTTTCTTCCACCCATTGTGCATGGAGCCCTGAAGCTCAGACAGTCACAGTGGCTCCTTGAGCCCTGGCTTCCCTTCTGTAAAGTGGGAAGGATGCGAGCTTGAGACTTTTCTGCAGACCTTGAACACCACTTATTCTCCTCACTTCAATATGCCGAGGGGCAGTGGGGCAAGGCAGGGACAACTCTCTCTGCCAATGGTGTCACATGGGAACTTGTCCCAACACCGGAGCACAAATTTCCTTGGATAGTTCTGGGGTCTACCTGGCCTTCCCTTGTCCACAACATTCATCCCACAGAAGAGCAGTCTTCTTGTCAGAAGCCAGCATGTCCCAGTCTACTTTGCTTCCTTACAAGGAGCAAAGGAGGCACAGCTGGGCCATCTAAGCCACATCACTTGGCTGTAGGATAACCTCTAAGATAAGGTAAGCCTCGGCACAGCTTGGCCTATCCCCCAATGGCTGTGCTCCTTTGGGCAAAGTTGAAATGGTTGCAGTGCGGGAGGGGGCCGTTGCAGTGCGGGAGGGGGCCGTTGC